TTATCAATTTCTCAACGAATAGAAATAATTTCATTATAAAAATTCATCTTGAACTAATATTCCAATAACTTGTTCTCACATTCACATTTCTATTATTCTTATTTTTCACTTTCTCTTACAGCATCTCAATTTTCATTACTATTTCTTTTCTCTCTATCGTCAATTTCATAATGAATAGAAATCATGTCGTTTTTTAATAAAACGATAAATCAAACTCATCTCCACTTGAACTAATTTCATTACAATTCCACGCTTACAAAACTCAAAAACATTGATGATAATTCACATAAAAATTAATTATTTCACATAAAAATCTAACTATTTAATAATATATTATTCTACACTTTATAAGATTATACTTAGAGAGCTTAGAAATCTATTCATGAAGCGATATTTTGAAAAAAAATCAAACATGAATAAATATTATCGTTCGAATTGCTGCATCAATCCAAGTGATGGCGGAGTATCACCTCTGGAGTTATCGCATTACGCCGAGTGGTGACTGAGTTAAAGCAATTTAATTTTATGCTGGATGAAACAAGAGACAGGATGGAGGAACTTGTAACATTTTTAAATTTCATAGGTATTGTCATTTCTGGAATTAAAATTTCGAATAAAAAGTACCTACTTATCTATATTTTTAAAGGATTCAGAAAAATTTTTCTTCGGATACAAACGACTCGGAGAAGAATTCAAAGAAGTCGCGACGATAAAACCCTTAAATTCCCTTATCCAATATAATAAAGATTGCAATTTACTCGAATATCGCAAAAAGAGTTTGCAGCTCGAAGAAAACCGTCATCCTACAGACAGAATATTATTGCTTTAATTACCGCGAAGAGTTTTAATGGCCGTGGCAGAACGCGATTAAGAAGTGCTCGTTACCGTTTTCCACGGGGCATTAAGAAAAGGCACAAAGAACTAAACGGACATTAGTAGAGGGCTCGACTCGGAGCCGTTCATCCCGCGTGTTTTTATTTATTTTTATCCGCCACCGAGATCTAATTATTGCCGTTCGAGCGGGCCACGTATTGCCATAAAATGGCGAAACTCGTCCGCGAGGAAACGTGTCGTAGGAAAAATTGGAGCGTCGACACAGTTTCGAGCCCGATAAACGAGCACCGTAACTCACCGAGCTTTTCGAGCTTTTTGGCTTCCGCCCGCCAAGGTCCACGGCTCGTTCCGCGTCCGCGATACCTTTGCTCGCTCGACCGTGCTTCGCGAAACCAAACTTGCTCACGGCGAGACATCCAGCCGGCCACCAAGCTAAAAATTAGTTTACGGATGCGCAAGTTGGGGAACTGGGTTCCTCGAAACTGGGCTTACGGCCGAGCCAAACTTCTGACTCTGCTGATGTTACTTTGCAAGTAGTGGGTCCACCCTGTGTTTCAAATCGATTCCTCTCGTCCCCCCAGGGGATCCCTCGAAACGTCCCTCGCCTTCGTTTTCTTGTTTGAAATTATGTTGGAAAGTTATGCTCTGATACGTTGATAGTTCTTGTTCTCGAAATTGGGAGAGATATATTTTGGGAATGGATGGATTTGCAGATGTGCTTTTTTCCAGCGTGTAAAAGTAAAATGTGAGATGGTGGTTTTAGGGAAAGGTAAGTAAGTAAGTGTTCCTCTTGTATAGAAAAAAATAATTTAATAAGAATTTTACGTGTTCTAGTACACGTGAACATAAGCAAGAAGTTTTTGTTTGTTGACAGAATATCTTAGATGGCTGAAGTAAAATCAGAAATGTATATCTTATCCATTTAATGATAAGAGTATTTCATAAATAAAATTTACTTTTTTAAAAAAACGTTATAAACGACAATGGTAACAAATTTTATATAGATTTTATGTAGTTTATGTTTTTCTAAATGGGATTACACGCTTTTAATCAGACAGAGCTTATGACTCATGATGTCAATCAACTTAGTGTTCTTGTATTTCATAAAAGATCAAGTTCATGGGAAAGAACCCTCTAATAATTTGAAAAGTTGTATAAGAAATACCAATATATTACTTCTGCAACATTGAACAGAAGGCAAATATCTTTTAGAGATGGAATAAATCAATACCTTGACGTTCGAGATTAATTCATTTCACGATAAAAATGTATAGATCCGTTTAAGATTTGTTACAAAATATTCCAAAAGACATCATTTAAATATAATTCGTCACGAGTTGAAATGATCAAATTCGCAATATTTGATAAAAAGAAAACAAAAACTACGTTATTGTATAAGAATATCCTTATTTTTCTTAAGACAGTTTTAATCGGTTAAAGTTAAAGAGGATAGAGTATTTCCGCGATACTCTGAGAAGAAAACTGAAAGAGCACCGTCGTTCATTTTTATTCAACAGAAACCACAATATAGCAAGTTTCCTGCGTTTCCACCTCGATAACCATCCCCACATTTCGAACGATAAACGTATTCAAGAATAACTTGTGAAGCTCGCTGGAGCGTTTATCGAGCATAACATCAGACGTTCCCGATGTTATGTATTTAAAGAATCGGGCCGAATCGATCGAAGGCGGCGCGACGAGCCTTTTGTCTCGATTTCCGCAAAGTCGAAGGTTCTCGTACAGTCTGGTTTACTCGATTGTCACAAAGAGGTTGCACAGAGGGAGCCAGATGGAGGGGAGAGCGCGTCCATCGCGTCGAAGAATGGCGGAACGAGCCGCGACATTTGCCGCGCGTATTGCCATACGTTGGGGTTGGTGGCGAATAAGTGCGGTGTCGAGAGAGGGTCGGCGACGAGGGGTGAAAAAGGCAAAAGGCGAGGAGACAACGTGTCGCCGTTCTGGCGCCCATGTTGGTTGGGAGAAGAAAAAAAAAAGAATAGAAAATCGAAGAGGGAGCGAGAGAGAAGGATTGTGCTGCTATATAGCTATAGTGGTTTGAGATAAAGTGGTAAAAATGAGATAGTGATTAGTGATAAGTAGAGACTTTTCACGCAAAACGACATTTTATTTAATATTGATTTGATTTGTTTAGTGATGATGATAATAATTGAAGATGATCGAATTAATTTGATTCTTTCGTAAGCTTTTTTGTATGATATAACATTGCAGAAGAGAAAGCTTTTTCCTTCATTGACGAGTTATTAATGGAAAACACAGATCAGTCACAGAATGTGTAAACTAACGGTAGTGTTGGCTATAAACTGTTAGCGAATCACCGAACAAATAGTCAAAGCAATATATGATTCTATGATTAGTTTTTCATTAATAATTCATTAATAAAGTTGAAACGAAAAAAATTGCTTGAAATTGCTAGATTGAAATGAATTAGAATCGCGAATTAAATTTTGACGATTAATTTCCGAAAAACTTTTTTTGAAAGAAATAGTTATATCTTTTATAAATATCTTATTATACATAATGGATAGTTTAGAAAATATTATTTTTACAATTGGCAAAAAATCAGAATGTACATTCATAAAGCAATTTGTAGATTAACGAATAATGGGCAGAACAATAAACTTGCACGTTAATATTCTCCATACATTGAATCTCTGTATCAATTTCTACAACTTCTGCCAATTATCGATCAAACAAATCAGCATGTATCATTATTCACATGCAGCATCAAAAGGCATGTTACTTTATTGTATAATCAAATACGTACACAACTCGAACGTTTCCACAATGTACAACATTATACGTCTATGAAAAATGAATATCTTATGAATTGGTTGGTTCTAGCATAAAGCAGTAGACCTTTCATTCGCATATATTTTTATTATTGGTTCATTCTCAGTTAATTGCATCTATTATTCAGAAATAAGAATCTGATTAGTTACGTAATCAACTTTTCTTTAGAGTCAAGGAAAATGGCCGTATACTTTCATTAATTAAAATTTCACCTTCAGACTCTTAATGATCGCATTGCATAGTAATAGGATCATTGTTCGTAGATCAATGATCCGCAGGAGACGTACAAAATTATATTTATGAGGACTTTTATTCTTTTTACGTTTAAATCTATGTCTCACAATTCATTTGTTATTACTTTTTCGTCGTGTTGATGAGATCAATTTAGCTAATAATGACAATACATATTGACTAATCCAAAAGTAATCCAATTAATTTGATTTAAATTTAAAACCTCTGTACATATACGTATTATTTAGATACTTTATTATTTCTACTTATTTATATAAGGAGAGGAGTGAATGAATTTTTATTTTGTCCAAATTTTTTCAATTGAGACATATCACGTAGTGTTTTATTGAAAAATTTTAAACGTAATTTAAAAAGTTTAAAAAAAAAACAATTTTTAAGAATTACAACATCGTAAGGCATATACTTATCGATTCTAAAACATGTTCAGAACTAATTAAAAATTAGTTAAAAATATGCGAAAGAGTATCGAAATAATAGCAAAGTATACGGATCTGATTGATTACATCTGATTTCTAATTAGATCTATAAGTACGCGTATTACAAATAATGTACGTGATAAGTATAGAAGAAGTCCTCCTGTATTCTCTGTGTACTCCTGTGTGCCTTACTTTTTCTTCTCTAGAATATTATAAAGTCATCTGTCAAAAAGAAAAAGCTATTTTGTGTAATTAATGTAATTAAGAAGAGAAAATTATAATTATTTATCGATTGGATTTTGCTCTTTCAATTTTGTCTTGGATAATTTGGTTACTCAATCTGCTGCTTAAATAAATATATTAATCATTATGAAAACATAGCTTTAATTAAAATGGATTATTGTGGACGAATTATTATCAACGTATAGCATTCTCAACCACATCTAAACTTAATTTAAGTGATCGAATAGAAGTCAATGATTCAAATTAAATATTTTTTTATATAATATTTTATAAATTATAATTAAAAATTGTATATAATAGAATATTACAATAAACAAAACTTTGAATCACAAAATATAAAATATGATCTATTTCTACAGACAATCAGTAAATGTTAAAAAGAATTTAATTATAATGTCAAGATGATTTCTTGATTTTAATGGTTTTTTTTAAATTTTGTTACAGGTACAACAACTAGATACTTAAGATGTTAACAGGAATCAATGGATACTTCATAACGAGGTTGTTGGCATGTGTTCATTATTGTTGTTGTTATTATTATTCCTTGATATCGAGTGCTAATTGCTTAGGAATTTGCATTTTAAGATCGATTTCGAATTAATATCCACAACATTTTCCAAAATTATTTATTGCTAATATTAATTGAGTTTAAAATAACACTTCAATTCTAATATTCTAATCAACCTAATTTTAATTAGATTAAAATTAAAATTTAAGCAGATTCTATGACTTAGTAACTCATACTCTAATAATAATTTTATTCTTTACATATTTCTTTTATTTCAACATATCACTTTTTTTATCATAGATTTATGATCGATTTATTGTCAGCCAATGATAAAACTACTTAGTGGATACAAAGTATTATTAAACATATTGTTATTGTACAAGTTGGCAATATATTCGTGAAAAAGCTTTAGAAAGTCGTTTCTGAAGGCCAAAATGAACAAATATCAATTGAGACTTATTCGTTAAGTTGTAAATAATAAAGTTTATATTATAGATGAAGCGAAATGGAGATATGATAGAAAGAGAACAATCTCACTCGATCTCTAACTTCATCTAATTTCATTTATTATTTAATAAATAAACATCAATTAATATTTTTATATATAAAATTATATATCTATAATAATGGACTCTTTAAATATATATATATGATATCAATATTAGAATTTGTTAAATAAAATCAAAATTTTATAGTTATTTAAAACAAGATTTAAATTTAAGATTTTTGACGTTGAATTGAAATACAAAAGATATGGAAAACTAAATTCAATAGCTAAATCACAGTGGCAAATAACAGTGAAACATGTGTCACTTGAAGGAACTGTAGATAAAATAAAAATACTAATTTCAGTAAAATAGAGAATTCTCTTTTTTAATTGTTAAACTTTAAGAATTAATATCTGCCAAGTTAATATTTCATATAATAAAACATAGCTATCAGTTTTCATGAATATTCTCGAAAATCAGTGAAGTATGTCATTGCAAAAAATTTATCAAAAAGGCAAAATATTGCATAGCTGTATCGAGTCGAATAGCATTTTTATGAATGAATAAAAGGGTGAAGTATTAAAATGCAACATGAAATATGGAACGAATAGATACCAATAATGAATAAATCAGGAAATAATCTAATTTTTATACGCGAATAATTCTTCTTATCATTTACTATCATTATGTTAAATCATAATCACGAATGCAAGAAAAAAAAAAATTTTTTAATGATAGAATTTTGTTTTGAAAGTGCATGTCTATTTGCGTAATTCGAATTGCGTAAGTGATGACGAATATAGTATAAATGTAGAATAAATTTGCCTATCTACTATAAATTTCAATTAATCATAACGAAATGGCAAATATTACGAGTTGAATTATTATAAAATATTTAGCGGAATATTTTGCAAATTGATGTATGTTTAATAACTATGAGTGGGTTGTGTTATCGAGAAATTCAGATTTGCACCGTTTAAATTGTAATCATTAAAATGATGTACAAAATAAACAAATATATTATTTGTGATTCAAATTGTCAATTAATAAACTGAAAAATTATCATTTCGAAATGGAATATGAATATTTTTGTCACAAAGTGATAATATTAGTATCTAATATTTAATAAATGAACGTTAATAATACAATAGCAAAGATATATGCATGTATGCAACAAATTACGCGAATAATTCTTCTTATCATTTACTATCATTATGTTAAATCATAATCACGAATGCAAGAAAAAAAAAATTTTTTAATGATAGAATTTTGTTTTGAAAGTGCATGTCTATTTGCGTAATTCGAATTGCGTAAGTGATGACGAATATAGTATAAATGTAGAATAAATTTGCCTATCTACTATAAATTTCAATTAATCATAACGAAATGGCAAATATTACGAGTTGAATTATTATAAAATATTTAGCGGAATATTTTGCAAATTGATGTATGTTTAATAACTATGAGTGGGTTGTGTTATCGAGAAATTCAGATTTGCACCGTTTAAATTGTAATCATTAAAATGATGTACAAAATAAACAAATATATTATTTGTGATTCAAATTGTCAATTAATAAACTGAAAAATTATCATTTCGAAATGGAATATGAATATTTTTGTCACAAAGTGATAATATTAGTATCTAATATTTAATAAATGAACGTTAATAATACAATAGCAAAGATATATGCATGTATGCAACAAATTATAATTCGATAAAGAGAAAACTACTTGTTAAAATTTATTATACGATTATATGATTACAATATAATAATGTTACATATAAATTAGAATGTATATTATACTTTTATACTTGCAATTATAATCAGAATTACGAAATCGATATTTAAAATGAATAAAAGAATGTATTTTCATTTTTTACAATTATATTATAGCAATTTGTTTCAATAATTTATTTTAGATTTTAGACAAAATGTTATTGTTATATCTTGTCTACGATTTCGGATAAATATTTTTTTATAATTTATTTCATCATTTTCTTCAATATGTTTATAATAATTTAATAACCTATTGTAATTTGGATTTAAAAAACGGGGCAATTTTTACAAGAAATGAACTTCAATGTTCAATCAATTTGCATAGAATATAACAATATTTTCATAAAGATGCGAAAAGTTGTATTGATTTTTCAATTTTAAAAACAATAAAAAAGATACACTCTTCATTTTTCCACTTTTTCACAATTTCAATTTTCGTAACAATATTTTATCTCGTGAAACTGGTCAAACATTTTCAAAACTAATCATCTTCGTAATTTGAAAAATGCGAAAATCCACTAAATTCGAAGAACAGGTGGCTGGACAGGGTTCAACAATCGGGAAATCTCATATTATATTTAATCGCGGGTAATCGTGCGGCTCGACTGGGCACAAAAAGGGTTGGCCATTTAGTCGGCTATGTGTTAATTACGTAAATACCACCAGATTCATTATGTGACCGCTTGGATTATGGTTGGCAAACAAATAAATAAATAAAGTTTCGCCACCGAATTACGCGAATTAATGCCACTACCCGAATACCGGTACGTTAATATCGTTCCTCGGTTTACAGCGAATAATTGACACAGAATCCGTTGCGATACCGGCCATTCTATACTCCGCGCCAAAATTATCCGTATCGCGAACGTTTGCCCGTTTTGCAGACGGGACATTAATCTCTGGTAATCATCCAGTCTTTCGTGATTATAACTCTAATGCAAAATTACAGTCAAATTTGTGCTTCGAACTGTATTTTGTTCGTGTAATCTTGCTAGTATGTTTGAGCTTTGCTTGAATATATCGTGAAGCCTTGCAAAATGATTAACAAAATTGTTAAAGCTTGTTATTAGTGGAGATTCGTAATGCTATTTTTAAGAAAGAGGGAAAGTTTCAATTTTTTTCAATTTTTATTTTAACCGATTATAATATTTATTTTCTTTATTTTATATTAATTAGATGAAATGAGACAATTGTCTCGATGCTATTGTCTTGCTTTCTTCTTATTTTTAACGCAAATTTTTTAAAAATACGACTATTTTATTTCTCAAATGATGTGTGTCATATACAGTTTATTATATACATTCAAATTTTGTTTAAATATTCACAATCTATAACTCATTGAATTTCTAGAATCGATTGTTCAAAGATGTGGCACAAACATATATTCACATATATGAATTATAAACACTTTTAATCTTTCTATTAGCATCTTCAATCTTTTTAACCTTCTTTTTAATTCTATTTTCTTATTATACACAAATCAATTGACAATGCTGATGATTCCTGAAATGAATTTCAAACAATCTTTTCTTTGTGAAAATTTTCATTTTCGTTAAAGTTATTAACGAAAAACACTGGCTAATCACAGATCATATAAATGCTGAATTGAATTTGAAACACTTCCCCAATACTTTCCACGAATAATTTATTTGAAATTATTCAGAAATCATTTAATCGTCAATTCAAATTCTTATCTCAATTGAATTCTGAGACGCACTATCTACAGTTTCTATATTTATATAGATATATATTCTTATTATTCAATTTATTAACTTCTGTTGATAAATATCACCATCATTATTATTACCATTTAACAAATTTTTGTTACTAAATATATTTATTATTTATTTATCGATTCACCATTCATCTCTAAGTCGACGCCACGTATCTTTATAGCGCTAATTAAAGTACCAGCTCGAGTAATTTGGCACGAATTTACGATCAATGAGTCTGGAAGAATAACCAAGTTACGCAGATAATAATACTTTGGTGAAAGTAATTCGATGCGTAACAGTCGGCCTCCCCTTTACATTTCTCTGTTTTATTGCACGAACGTATCGCGAACGAGGGACCAGCCCATCAAACTTCGAGGGAAATTTCGGGATAACCCGAAATTTTTTTCGACAAAATCCTTTCTCTCGCCACGAACTCTTTTTCTCCGCTATAGTCCGGCAGATTAAATTCGCCCAGCTGTTAAACCGAATGAATTTCATAATTTACTCCTCGGCTCGAGTAACTTCCTTAATTCAGCCTCCGACGAGCGATGAGATTCTCGCGCTTTTGTGCGCGATGAAATTATGAAATTTTAAACGATGTCCCCGATGAATGAAGGGTTTTTTTGATCAATGGGGATGTAAACGTTTATCCCGAATGTTACTGAGCCACGAGTGGAATTGTTGGTGATAGAGAGTTACTGTGGGATAGTTAATTTTCACGATGAATAGAATTTTAACAAAAAAAAAAAAAAAAAAAGACAACAAATTTGACTGCCACTTTGAACCGAGTTGAAATTTCAATTTGATTGTCAAATTCTTTTAAGATACGATGATTTTAAATCAGATTATTAATTAAAAATAAATTATTATAAATATATATGATGATTTTAAAATTTTTATTTTCATTGATTTTTAAACATTTTTTTAGTTAGTAATTTAATTTTTGTTTTCATTAAATAATATTTTTTTTATGTAAAAATAATTTTAAAAATGTTAAAAAAGTTATATATTT